CTCCTGATGGAATCCATGCAGGTACCATGCGCCCCTATGCTGCCGAGTGTGGTCAGGTCATCGACATGTGCCTTCATTCCTAGTGACCTATCGCCCGGTTTTGAAGTCATATTGCCTTTCGCTAGATCGCTCTCACTAGAGTTCTTCTATCTTCTGAAACACGTTCGTTTGTCATCAGTCGATATACATACATTCAGAGAAGAAGAACGGATTTGTCTGTTGTGAATTGTATAAACAACAGAAGATTTTTACAGAGAAAGTGTTACTGAAAATCTAGCATATGTTTCATTTGACCAATTTCTAAATACACTTTCTAAATTAAATTGTATTATGAGGATATGTTACATATATATGTAAAGCTTCCATTAAGTGAATATCAAATATATTTATCTTTCTTAAAATAGATCTTCATGCTTTAAATACTCAGAACAAGTTAAGGGTCAAAACTTTTAATGGCCATAACTACAAATATAAATAACAGTGAAATGTAGCGATCATATAACAACTCGAGCCAACATTTCATGATAACCATAAAGGGAGACAAAAACAGCAGGAATGTCAGTGATTGCTGATCAATAAGGTCAAAGTGACCTACTGTCAGAAGTGAAAATTCAAACGCCAACATTGGTCTAATAACAGATGTAAACACCTCGAGCAGTAAGACAAGCAGTAAAACTCTGTCTCATACTGTTCACCAGACGTTGGAAGAAGGCTTGGGGTATTGCCTGCCATTCTGCAATGAGATACTGGGCCAGTTATGCACGGTTGTTTGGAGGGGCGTGGTTGTTACCAAGCCGACGTCCTAACTCGTCCCAAGCATGTTCCATAGGGGCTAAATCTGCTGAATATGCCTGGCATTCCATGTGCTGAACATTGTTCTGTTTAAGGAAGTCCGTCACAACACGGGCACGGTGTGGTCGGGCATTGTCATCTTGGAATATGGATCCGACACCGATACGTTGTAAACATGGCAAAACGAGGGGTCTGATAATCTCCCCTAGATAGCGATATCCGGTCAGGTTACCATTAATGACATAGAGAGGTGTCCTTTGATGAAAGGAAAACGCACCCCAAACCATGACACCCCCGCCTCCATATGGCAAACGTTGGTTGACGTTAACGTCAGCAAACCTCCATCCTGGACGCCGATACACACGAGTTCTACCATCATTGAACTGTAGAGTAAACCTAGACTCGTCGGAGAAAAGAACTGATGCCCACTGAGCACGTTGGCAACGAACATGGTGTCTACACCAGTCATGTCTTGCTGTCATGTCTTGCTGAAGGAGCGGTGGTCGTACTGCTGGTCGCCGTGCCCGCAGATTGTTCCTCGTCAGTCGGTTCCTGACAGTCTGATCAGATACCAGGGTACTTGTGGCAGTTCTCAGTTGGTCACGGAACTGTCTGGCAGTTACTCTGCGTTGTGGGAGGGCCATATTTGTCAGGTATCGGTCTTCTCTAGGAGTTGTTGATGGAGGCCTGCCAGAACGTGGTCGCTTATTCAGCATTCCAGTGACACGAAACCGGTGTCATAACCTTCCAATGACACTCTGACTCACATTTAGTCTCTGAGCCACACTGGTTGAGGTTCGCCATCTTGAAGCCAAGCAAGATCTCTTCCTCTGTCTGTCATGCTCAGTTGACGTCTTGCTATTGTTGAATTTCAAGTGACAATAACAATGCGACAATTACAAGTTTTATAGGGAAAATAAGCATGCACAGCACTAATCCCACGCAGAACACGTGCAAATGTTGTTCATGATGAAACATCATCTTCCACAAGCACAGTGGTGGCGCTTCTGTGAAGCACTCGATGTTTCAATTTGTTCATTTTTTAACACCTTACCACATGGTTCTGCAATGGTTTTGAATAAACTACCATACACGGAATGTAAAGTTTTATTCATGCATAATGCAACCAGCCTCATCAATAACATTACATGATGACATCGCATGACCCGTAACTTGTTTTGAGTAGTATATATATGTAGGTCGGGAGTGTGATGAATGGATGAGCCATGTCGGCAGAGAATATAAATGGAATTCAATATGCCATGTCAGTATTGTGTGAAGTACTTTGTACTTTACTTTTCGTATGATGGAATGGATTTATTTGTGTTAATATACCGTGGATCTTGTCGGGACATGGAAAAATTGTTTGACGAAAAAGTAAGACTTCTAACCATTTTGACTGATACTTGCTGTTATTATTGTACCTAATGTAAACATATTACGTCTGTCGGAATTAAACTGTTTGTATATTGTTGTTTGATCTCTCATTGTATTGAGACCGTATTGTGGATCCACACGTAACCATTATGTCTTCAGAAATGTTACACAAGGTACAGAACCAAACTGTGAAGGCAGTAAATAACAACTCAAGATAAGGTTGACACACAATTGAAACAAGCACGATGGCGCGTAGCAAACCAATGTTTTCGTGTAACCCCGATAGGTTGCAAAGCTTAATATTTAGACAGTATTGAGGGCTAGCTCAACCTTTTTAGCAACAATCATATGTAAGCCCGGGCTTTTTTTTATAATGGTAGCTACGCCCCTGCAATTCATTGATAAACTATTTGGCGATCACAAACCCAGAGCATTGTTGAAAAACCAGTATTTGCTGCACTTGAATATCGTCTCTGAGTCATGATGTCACATCTTGTTTCCAGGAATCACTGTGTGGAAACAGACAATATTGTCGCGATAGGTCCCTGTCAGATCAAGTTAACGCAAGGAACTCCTCGAATCGTCCTAGTTTCGCGCCTATCTAGTCACAGCATGTATTCCCAGACTCCACCTACTGTCCCTTCAGGAGCTGTTAACGGCCCTGGAGAGGTGGTAGATTCCTCATATTGGCTCGAGAGCAGATGGACGATGTTTTGACTGGAAATACAAAGACCAAGGGATGCAACTCAACTCAACGTCACTATATTGTTCAAATATATTTTACAGGCGCTACAATAAATAGTAATCTGTATAAAAAAAACAGTTACAGTAAGTACAGTATTCAGTTGCCTTGAAGAACACTAGAACGTAGACTTGTCTATAAATATCTTTAGATTTCAGATCGCTTATATGGCATGACCATATGGCATAAGGAAAACCACACTTTTTGATATACATTCTAAGTATTTTAGCCTCTGCAAATTGATTTATTCATTGAAATAAACCACACCTGGATTATCTTTTTCAGAATGTAAAGGATCTACCTCTTTAAAATATACATAGAAATAAATATTTCATGCTTTCAAGTTTACACTGTTTCTTTGATGCTGATTGGTTGAATGGGTAATCACGTGATATGATATGGGGTTTACACGCATGTGAACTTTATCAGTTATTTGTGTGAAATTGATTGAGTGCACTTTCGCCGGAAGGACTCATCAGGGTTTTCAACGCACCCCATTGAATATACTGCAGTCAATTCCACTTAATCTGAAACAGTTCGAATCATCACAACACAAGAGACTAGCCTTCTCTATCCGATCGTATTCCCGATTTGATCACACCATTTGAGTGTTCAGGCCTCGTTCGTCTCAATATAACTGTTGAACAAACTCAACATTAAACGGTAAATTCCCGTCATGTTTCACTTGCATCTGTTTGCAAACTTCACTGGCAATATAAGTTAATCCGTATTTAACTGTTCACCTTACCTCACTTCATCGAGTGATGTTTCACTTCCCTGTTATCTGTATTCAGGATGGGATTTACCTCGTTTACTATTTGTCAATTTGTTCAGAGAATAGGATTTTTGTAAAGTTCAAATATTTTCAGCTATTGTAGTTTATATTTGAAGAACTATTTTCCGTTAGGTACAAGTGAGGGAAACCACGGGACCGTAGGCCATGAAATGAGAATCCTACTTCGTAGCATTGTTGCAATGTCCGCACCGGAAACAGATAACTTCATAGGAAGAACTTATCATTGTGACATTCAGATGCGAACTGAACGTCAGTTTGCATGGGTTTATTTTAATTAGTTCTGAGGTTCGCACAGTTTAAAGAGCGTTTCCGTCACGCACACTTCTGTGAACGTATCCGAACTCACGTTCAGTGCCTGAATGGTCTCACGAGGCGTTGTTGAAAATGCATATTTGTGAAGCTATAGCTATATTGCCTGCACAGTGTACAGGATCCGGTATATTGATGTAACTAATACAGCACCTGTGAATACTGTGGTAAGATGTATTCTTTGTGTATCATATACCTTGAGGTGTATTGCAGCCATTTCCTTCAGATAATCAGTCTTATTACCAATTGGATCAAGAACACACTTTGACTGAAATAACAGAGCATTAACTCTATTTTAGTTCCCTCCACTCTGTCTACAAAAGTTGCTTGCCTGTCAGTGTTGACCAATCTGTTTGCACAAGACGGCAACAGGTGTGTCAGTATCTCACACATGTTGGAACTGTTAGCTGACGTCAAGATAATATCTGTAACGGATGAGAGACAGCTTCACGAACATATTTGTATGCATATTGCTTTCATGACCTAGGACAGGTAGGACCTATTTTGCTCAAATGGTCTCATTATTGGGTGCATCACAGCTACAGCTTCACGTTACAGACAAATATTATCACTTTTCAACCAGTCTTCGCCTGCTGGTTAAGCCAGAGATTTGTGTGTTTTCTCCTTTAGTTTGATGAGAAGAGGGGCAGATGACCGGCTCCGGATCCAATTTAAGAAGAACCTGTGTGTTTACAGTCGTCGTATGTGTAGTTACCTGGCAGTTGACGCTACGATATGTCACCAATGGTGAGAATATAAATCAGGTTATGAAATCAGATGATTTTATGTTTATTGGGCCGATGTTAAGTCTTTGAAGGTTTATAATCACATGTGATTTAGTGTTGCCTGTTCAAACAAATGATTGGACACAATATATGTATTGTTTAGAATTATTCAGAAATGCATTCCATTTATTTTCACTGACGACAGATTATTGACTGGTTAAATTCATTAATCGTGAATATTTGTATCAGGCGACTGGAACAAGCGGGATCCACAAACACGAGTCATCCTGAACACTTACATGCGAAGTGGATCAACATTTGCCGGGAAGATGTTTGACTTCAACCCAGATGCCTTTTATATTTACGAACCACTACATTATCTGAATATAGCCTACCGAAACAACATGGACGTTACCTCCATAAGTCTTCAGACGAGGTAGGACTGAATTTATTCAATCTAAATGGTAAGTCAACATACATGGTTTCATGAGATTCACTTTCCCTACCAGTCTTTACAAAAACATAATACAAACTGTAAAACATATTACACTCTAATCCGTAAAGATCCGGGTAAGAATTGGTTTTCAGCAACCCATTGTTATGAGCGTGTGCTTTTGTTAATTATGTCGCATTGATTAACTTTTAGTTGTTGTGGGTCTCAAACGTTTAAAGCGCTGAGTGTAATTTCACCTGTTAAGAGTAAGTTAGAGTTATCTCCCCTTTGTTTCCGGTGTTTCAGTAGGATGCTGTGAGCTATGACGGGAGTCCAGTAATTTCTAAATGATTGTAGTGTGGGATGTCTGTTGCTAGAATTCTCGAGAACTGTATAATAGGCATATAAGGAGGTATATGGGGTGACTACTACTTTGGATTTACGCTAATCTGTCTGCTAATATCAACGCTTCAAGACAACTCAAGAGGCCTCGTCTACATTGAACTTTCAACAGCTATCAGGCGCATAGCAAGCCAATGTTTTTCGTCTAAGCCCGATAGGTTGCAAAGCTTTATATTTAGATAGTATTGAGGGCTTGCCCAACCTTTTTAGCAACAATCATATGTAAGCCCGGGCTTTTTTAAACAATGGTAGCTACGCCCCTGGCTATCAACAATCTTCAATCAGTAGATCTGTTTTTACTGGGAATATCAATACTTCGGTGAGTTAATAGTTTAAATATGTGACCCAATATTTTAGATTTGTGATCCAATAGTATTGTATTAGATATTTGTACTGTCATTCATTCTAATCTTGTTTATTCAATATATAATTGAGGATAATAGACTTATATTTGTTTTATTTTGCTTGTTTCAAGGGGACTCACAAGCCTTTTATCTCAGTAATTTCTAACCTGTAACACCATGATTGTCGCAAGAGGCGACTAACGGGTGGTCAGACTCGCTGACTTGGTTGACACATGTCATCACAAGTCATACCAAGTGCGTAGATCGATGCTGATGCTGTTGTTCACTGGATTGTCGATTATTTACAGCTGGAATATTGCTGAGTGCAGCGTTAAACAACCAATCAACCATCACGCCCTAAATATTATCTATGCACTAGTTTAAATTCTAAAGTCTTTTGGTCTGAAGTTATTAAACGTCTGGACAAACACTCTCTGAAAAGCACTGATCCAAATGACTACTGTTTGTGTACTCCAAGTATACTCGAAGGCAAGAGCTTTTGTGACATGGGTATTTTACGTGGTAATCATGTGAATGTTTTTGTGAACTAGAGAAAGAGTCTGTTAAAATGGTCTACGAAACGCATCCAAGCAGTTGTTGTTGGACTTGAACTTATTAGTCAAAAAAGGGACATATTCGACAACAATATGGCAAATAAAGTTCACTTTAAAATGGTAAGACAACAGGATGCGTATCATTATCACTCAACGCAGTCTTTGTGACGAAGTTCGAAAATCACTTCTAACCATTGTTTTGGTTGAATGGTTAATGCCACGCATCGGGGAATTTGACATGGAAAGCTAGATATGCTTCATTTTGGCTCCTTGCAGAATGACATCTACCGTCGATTTAACGACCATTCGCCACTTAGTGGCCACCCAATAGTAACGACCCAACGCCAAGACCGATGGATTCGAACCACGCACCGCTAAGAAGGTTCCAGCAACCCTTACAACACCTGGCAACAGCGGTGAAGATGCGAGGATAGCTCCATGACAGACATGGTCTTCGTGTCTAGGACATCCTCGCAAGACACCCAGCGCGACGGCCATTTCTGACGCCATAACATCGATGTCCACGTCTCAGTAAGCGAAGACGACACTGGCGATGTGGACGACGCGACTCATGGCAGGACTGGCGAACAGGTGAAAATTACATCAGACCAAGTGTACTGGAAACTGATCATTTTGGAGATGGAGGCGTTAGGATTTGGGTTGGGATAACATCTGCATTAAGTGATCCCACCAATGATTGTGATTGAGGGGAACTTGGATGCTGCAAGGTATCGAGATGACATGTTTGGCCGCTTTACCGTTTGTGCAACAAATCGGGCCTGGAGTGACTTGTCAATTTGATCATGCCAGACCAATAGTTGTTCGAGTTGTACAGAAGTATTTTAATCAGAACAATCTTAATGTGCTACCCTGGCCCGCAAGATCCCCTGATTTGACACCCATTGAACGCGTAGTGGATGGAATAAAGAGACGTTTACAACTCCATCCACAAACAACACTGCAGGAACTAAGCGCTGCCAAATCCTTCCTCAGATATGGAATGATCTACCCCGGGACCTATTACTTCATTTAGTTGACTAAATGAGGCTATAGTGCCAGGCCTGCACCAATGCACAAGGTGGACACTGACATTGACCTGTGAGTTTGTCGGCGTGTGTCGTTGTTTCCGCCATTGTCATGAAGTGCAGTACACAAAATGAACAGCACGAAATACCAAGTAATCAATCAGTCATAAAGCTGGAATGAACGAGGATATAGCTGCTATATACATTTCTGTATGTACTCGATACCGAAATAATGACTAGTTGGGGGGTCTATGAATCTCACTCTCTCTCTCACTCACTCACACACACACATATCCAAACCTGTAAGTCGAAATGCTTGAGTTCATTATGTCCCCCATTTAGTATACAGTTAATAGTCTTCTCATCACTCTGGTCACAGAATGTAACAAAGTTCTGCACCCATGGAATTGATCAATGCAAGTCATTTGAAGGCGCTATTGTTGTCTTGATTGAGTGTTGCACAGTTTAGAATAAACCCCCATATGCGAAGAAATCCGACTGTTTCCAAATTGAATGAGCGTCACCTAGCACATGTCCAAAACGATAACAGTGACGTCATAATCTGAAGTTAATTTCACCTGAGAGATAAAACTTTACAGTTGCAACTTCATGTTTATAAGTGTTTAATAAATGTTATTTTTTCCTATTTTGTTAACATCATCGTTTTCGCCTTTAAAATGCACATATGTTATCAAAGTCTTTATCTTCATGTTTCCTGTTTATATTTACGTTCGCAGTTAAGAGTGTAGAATAATTGATTGTCAATTACTGCAGTGTTGTTGGGGTGGACCTTTAACGCATTCAAACAGTTTGACACTACAGTCAGTGAGGGAGTATGGTTCTACGCCGCTTTTACCAATATCCCAGCAATATCACAGCGGGGGACACCAGAAATGGGCTCCACACATTGTACCCATGTGGGTAATGGAACCCGGGCCTTCGGCGTAACGAGCGAAGGCTACCCCACCGCCCCTTTCACACAACCGATCTCCACCAGACAACAGTTGTGTGTATTTCCCTCCGTCGAACACTGCATCAGTGCTTAATACCTATTTATACACATCATAGCAAATTTGGTCCTAAGTAGATGTCGAAGATTTCGGTGTGTCTTCTTAGGAGACAAACAAGTTTGGTGTACATGAATATAGATCGAGTATCACTTGTTAAATTTCGCATATGTCTTATCGGTTGTTTGTTGTTTTTATAATATCGTGGGAAGCGATGCCGAGTTTTAAATACATATTTTGCTAACTGTTTATTACATATTGCAGGAAGGTTATCAACTACAATTCCGAGGCCATTACGATCATCAAGAACTACCTGACATGTAACCTCCATGATCTTCCCATTGAGACGCTCATCCAGGGTCACCAGCGGCAGAGTGAATCTTCTAGCCTCTATCTGAAGTGTATGAAGACGGCATTCCGAGACCCTGCATCGTTTTCTGAAGACATCAATCCTTGTATGGGTTATCTCAAAGATGTATGCTTGCGTGCAAAATTTACAGCTGTCAAAACTATTAACTTCCCAATGGAGGCAGCCAGGGAAATGATTACAAATGGCCTAAACATCAAGATAATTCATCTCATCCGCGATCCACGTGCAGTCATTAAATCTCAGGTAGAACGAATATTTGGAAATTGGTCAATGGTGCAATCGATTGCCAGACATCACTGCGCAAGACTACAAAGCGATTTCGATGACACGAAGACTTTACTGAAGTCTCGGCCCCAGAACATAAAAGTGTTGTTTTATGAGGACCTTGTTGCTGACATGTTTTCAAACATAAAATATGTTTATGACTTTATAGAAGTTCAATACAGAGATAGCCTTCATGAATTTGTACAGGCTTTAACAACTGGAAATGAAACCGACGGCTGTATGACATGTGCCGTGCGACCGAATACAGAATATGAATCTGTTAAATGGCGAACCAAGATAGACTACAAGCATGTTCTTATCATCGACAATGAATGTTGGAAGGCGTATGACAAACTTGGCTATGTACGCGTTAGAAGCAGAGACCATCTTTTGAATTTGAACGTGTCTCTTCGGCGTGATGTACACATATAAAAAAAAATATATGTGCACACCGATTGGATATCGTCACTGCGTTATTTCTGAGTGTGAGTGTCTCAGCTTTTTCCATGTATATTTCTGGCAATTTCTAAACTGAGAACAAGAGTAACAAATTACTTGCCAATAAATCAAGTGTTATCAGTTTTATAAAGAGTTTTTATTGTTTAAAAAGACATCGTTTTGCGTCAAAACTAAGTGAATATCTTTGTGGTGACTGATCAGACATCTTTACTGAATCTACTTCGTCAAGGCACATGAGTTTAACTAAGTGCCACAGTATGCCACGAGTAATGCCTTAAATATGTCCGAGCAATGTTTTAATACATTACAGGAGACAGAAATATGTGACATAGTAACATATGTTCTGACAGCACAGACAAATGTATAACAAAGCGAACCAACTATCTCCTTAACCAAGGTGGAAGGTTCAAGTACACCTGCATGTGCTTTCGAAATCATTATAAACGTGCACTGTCATCCTGCATATGTATTAAAAGGCAAGACTGTACTATAGATATGTAGCTGCGTTTTGATTATCTTGAAATTGCGTTGAATCTATGTCTGCGTTCTGGATCATGGTGAAATTAAGTAGCTAAATAAGAACGGATATAACTTTATGGATGACTGCAACCAGCGACACATCTGTGTTTGGGAAAGTCCTAACTTCTATATTAGCTTAAGGCGCAAGCATGTAACACAGAAAGAACGATATTATTCTCCAGGTCGGCTGGCAGGGAATATACAAGATAATTCAAAACAGGACTTTTTAAAACGTGTAAATGCAGTCGACATTAAAAAAAGAAACATTCCACATCGAAAGGCCCCACCAGCTCCAGGACTGGTGTCATGAGAAGAAAGCAATAGGCGGTGCTGGACGTTAGCATCGGACCATTAGGAAAGCGTCCACGGGTCGATACTGTGCACATTATGTTATAGTACGGTATTTTACAATTGTATTGTTCCATACACTAAGGCTATTACTGCAATAGGACGTCAATTAGGGAAATCAATAATTCATAATTTTCATCGGGTTTTCCTATACAGAAATGGCGTAGACAGCATTCTGAATATAATTTCCGTCTTTGTGCGAATCTTTAGGCGTTGCAAAGTAGGTGTGTTTATTTGAAGTAAACTTCACCGTTTGGAAACTCTTCAGGTATTGTGTGTGTATCATTTTATAGCCATTGTCTCCACATTTAAAAAATAAAGACACCGACCCAGTACAGGTGCATTATTGCCCATCCTGTTCTCGCTATTACAATGTAAATGCGGTGATTGCAGTTGTATATTCCTATTAAACAACAATATTGTATTTTCCCCGGGGTAAAACAAGACTTCTGTACTCAGAAGCTGAGTATATTTATATTGTCTTTCTTGTATTTGTACATCCCCAGTAACAATGCATAACGTCATCTGAGTGTAACAAGAACTGTTTACTCGGCTGAGGTGTGGACACTGCTCTACAGATGGTGCGTAAATACAGCAATATTTTTGGATATATACACGCATACAATTAGTAATTATTGACACATAACAATATTTTCCAAAAGGTAAAGTGGATCATTCAAGATATTTTTTTCAAGAACAAGTTATATAGTTACGTAGTGGCTGCTACCTTCTCTCGAGTTTTATAGTGGTAGTTTTTAACATGACTATCGACTTGCCCGCATATCATTGTATTATCCCTTAAGGTCTCCATGCTGGGGAAGCAAACAGCGACGCTCCCCTCAATAGATCATGGTGACCATCTTCACTGTTTCGCATGCGACTATTCTGTAGGTTACATTTCCAAAGATGACTTTTCGCCTTCAGTCAATAACAACCGTGGATAGAAAATTGTGATCCAAAACAATAATTATGCTACCACCTAGCAACCTAACTTTATCATATCAAATGGATGCTGTTGATGTATATTCCTTAAATTGGACAATAGAAATAACGAACCTGTTTTATGTCCTTCAGGGTGGGGTAGATTAGTAAATAACTTGTCTGATATTAGATCCATGCGTAAAGATTCAGAGTTACAATGCCTTAAACATTCTTTAAAAACACGCGCGCATTTGTGATCGCACACACAGACACACACATAGACACATAGATGGCGACTGTATGTATGTATACATGTAGTGTACATACAGTTTGACTCTTGTATGTATAGCAGTGTTCGATTGTTGTGAGAATAGTAGTGTTCGATTGTTGTGAGTATAGTAGTGTTCGCTTGTTGTGTGATTATAGCAGTGTTCAATTGTTGTGTGTATATCAGTGTTCGATTGTTGTGTGTATAGTAGTGTTCGATTGTTGTGAGAATAGTAGTGTTCGATTGTTGTGTGATTATAGCAGTGTTCAATTGTTGTGTGTATAGTAGTGTTCAATTGTTGTGTGTATAGTAGTGTTCGATTGTTGTATGTATATCAGTGTTCAATTGTTGTGTGATTATAGCAGTGTTCAACTGTTGTGAGTATAGTAGTGTTCGATTGTTGTTTGTATATCAGTGTTCGATTGTTGTGTGATTATAGCAGTGTTCAATTGTTGCATGTATAGCAGTGTTCGATTATTGTGTGTATAGCAGTGTTCGATTGTTGTGTGTATAGTAGTGTTCGATTGATGTGTGTTTATCAGTGTTCGATTGTTGTCTGATTATAGCAGTATTCAATTGTTGTGTGTATAGTAGTGTTCGATTATTGTGTGTATAATAGTGTTCGATTGTTGTGAGTATAGCAGTGTTCAATTGTTGTGTGTATAGTAGTGTTCGATTATTGTGTGTATATCAGTGTTCGGTTGTTGTGTGTATAGTAGTGTTCGATTGTTGTGTGTATAGAAGTGATCGATTGATGTGTGTATATCAGTGATTGGTTGTGTGATTATAGTAGTGTTCAATTGTTGTGTGTATAGTAGTGTTCGATTGTTGTGTGTATAGCGGAGTTCGATTGTTGTGTGTATAGCAGTGATCGATTATTGTGTGTATATCAGTGTTCGATTGTTGTGAGTATAGTAGTGTTCGATTATTGTGTGTATATCAGTGTTCGATTGTTGTGTGTATAGTAGTGTTCGATTGATGTGTGTTTATCAGTGTTCGATTGTTGTCTGATTATAGCAGTGTTCAATTGTTGTGTGTATAGCAGTGATCGATTATTGTGTGTATATCAGTGTTCGATTGTTGTGAGTATAGTAGTGTTCGATTATTGTGTGTATATCAGTGTTCGATTGTTGTGTGTATAGTAGTGTTCGATTGATGTGTGTTTATCAGTGTTCGATTGTTGTCTGATTATAGTAGTGTTCAATTGTTGTGTGTAAAGTAGTGTTCGATTGTTGTGACTATATCAGTGTTCAATTGTTGTGTGATTCTAGCAGTGTTCAACTGTTGTGAGTATAGTAGTGTTCGATTGTTGTTTGTATATCAGTGTTCGATTGTTGTGTGATTATAGCAGTGTTCAATTGTTGTGTGTATATCAGTGTTCGATTATTGTGTGTATATCAGTGTTCGATTATTGTGTGTATATCAGTGTTCGATTGATGTGTGTATAGCATGAGTGTTCGATTATTGTGTATATCAGCGTTCGATAGTTGTGTGTATAGTAGTGTTCGATTGTTGTGTGTATATCAGTCTTAGCTTGTTGTGTGATTATAGTAGTGTTCAATTGTTGTGTGTATAGTAGTGTTCAATTGTTGTGTGTATAGTAGTGTTCGATTGTTGTGTGTATAGCAGTGTTCGATTGTTGTGAGTATAGTAGTGTTCGATTGTTGTGTATATATCAGTGTTCGATTGTTGTGTGTATAGTAGTGTCCGATTGTTGTGTGTTTATAACAGTGTTCTGTTGTCTGTGTATAGCAGTGTTCGATTGTTGTGTGTGTATAGCAGTATATCTCGAATGTGTGTATCACTGTTTGATTGGTGGTGTGTATAGCAGTGTTAGACTATTTTGTGTGTATATCAGTGTTCGATTATTTTGTGTGTATAGCAGTGTCAGATTTGTATCTGTGTATGGAAGTGTTCCATTGTTGTGTGTATAGAAATGTTCCATTTTTGTGTGTATAACATTGCTCGTTTGCTATGTGTGTATAGCAGTGTTCGATTGTTGAGTGTTTGGAGCAGTGTTCGATTGTTGTGTGTATAACAGTGTTCGTTTGTTATGTGCGTATAGCAGTGTTAGATTTGTGTGTGTGTGTGTGTGTGTGTGTGTGTGTGTGTGTGTGTGTGTGTGTGTGTGTGTGTGTGTGTGTGTGTGTAGCAGTGTTCGGTTGTTGTATGTGTAGCAGTGTTCGGTTGTTGTTGTATGTGTAGCAGTGTTCGATTGTTGTGTGTGTAGCAGTGTCCGAATAATATTGTTGTGTGTGTATAGCAGTGTGAGGGAACTAAAGTAACTTCATATAAAATCCTTGCTCTGATATATCTTGAGAAAATATGTATTATCATCTACTCGGAACGGAATTACATGCACAGGACCTACTGTTTAGTGCAATGTACAACGTGTTTCAGTCACAGACAAGAGTATCCATAATTCAGTTACTTTAATTAAATTCCATCCTTACTATACTCATAAAAACGTAGGGGAACCTGAACTTTCAATTTGGATAGGAAGTATAAGCGTTAACAAACTTTACAAAGATAGACGTTTTATGAAAGCACCACCGTTTCTCTTTATCACCACCCCTAAACACAAAGCATGGAATGCGCGTGCACAGCGTAGTAGCCCAATATACGTGCATGGGGTGTCATTCTTGATTTTAACGGTTTTCAAGAAGGTCGATAAATCACAGTAGACCATTAATTTTGACAATCAAAAATAAAACGCATCACGTTACATTATTAAAATTTATATCACGAGCACAATTGAATAACGTGTTAGCTTGTGTGCAGCAGACGGTGTTTCTCCTATACACCACAGTTATATCTCTGTCATACAGTAGCACTTGCAGAATGTTATCTAATAGTTAAAAACAGGAACTATGGTTCATAAGGGGTTGGTAATTAATACTGGTTTCATCCCAGGCTTTTTTACTTAATCGTCTAAATTGCCCTTCCAGAACCGTTCCCTATGAGGGTACCTGAGGGTATCTATGAGGGTACCTGAGTTCCCATATCAAACCATAGCATGATATAGCTCTGTAGATGTGTGTACCCACCTTGAGAGTATGTTGTTGCGA